ATCCAACAGTGAAAGCATTTAGCGGAGTACTTGGTGCAGAGTTCACATCTGATAAATAGCGGCTCCCACACTCCCAATCTCAAACCCCAGACAGGTGAGGTATGGACACAGAAGGTTCTCACTCGACTTATGCTTTGTGTGGCATAACTCTCACTATTCTGTGTCATCCAACAGCGGAGCCAGGCTGAGAATCTCCTGTGACATAGATGTGGTTACTGGTGAGCTTTATCTTTCACATTGAAATCTATTCCGTAGTGAGTTAGCTTTTGTATAAGAGATGAGGTTCATTTTTTTAACAAAATGAATGTCCAATTCTTCTAACATCATTTGTTGAAAAAACTATCCTTTATCCATTGAATAGTACATAATCTTGACCTCCCTCATTTTCCTGGTCTTACTACTTGATCCTTTGTGCCTTCCATTCATTCATTTAATAAATACTGAGGGATCAGTGGACATCCGTAGGCGAGAGAGAGAGAGAGAGAGAGAGAGAGAAACTTGACCCTTACCTCACACCATATACAAAAAAACCAACTCACAATAGGTCATGGACCTAACTGTAAAATTCTAACAAAACTTTTAGAAAACATGAGGATAAAATCTTTGGGACTTGGGGTTAGGTAAAGAGTTTTTAATGTGACAACAAAGCACAATTCATAAAAGAAAAAATTGATACATTTTACTTCAACGACTCTCTGCAAGTGAAACGGTGAAGGGGATGAAAAGACAAGACACAGATCGAGAGAAAATATTTGCAGATCACACATTTGACAAAGGACTTGTATCCAGAACTATAGCAAAACATCAAAACTCAACAGTTTTTAAAAATCCAGTTTAAAAATGGGCAAAAGACTTGTGTGGACGCTTCATCGGAGAAGACACACGGATGACAAAGCAGCACATGAAAAGAGACTCAACATTCTTAGCCATCGGGGATGTGAAAATCAAGAGCACGATGAGCTACAGCTCCACGCCCGCGAGGATGGTTAAAATAAAAATATTGACACCACCAAGTGCTGACGAGTGTGCGGAGCAACCGGAAGCCTTGCCATGGCTGATGAGAATGAAAAAAGGGTACAGTTGCTCTGGAGAACAGTTTGGAAGGTTCTTAAAAAGTTAATCTTACTCTTGCTATACGATGCATTCATTCTACTCCAAGGCGTACATCCCAGAAAAATAAAAAACCTAGGTCCACGCAAAGCCGTGTGTGCCCGTAGACACAGAGGCATGAATGTTCCCAGCAGCTTTATTTGTACTAGCCCCAAACTGTCCTTCACCGGATGAATGGACAAACAAACCGGTCCATCCATCCCATGGACTATTACTCAGCAATAAAAAGAAGCAAACTATATCTCTGCGCACGGCTCGGATGGAGCTCAAGGCCATTATGTTAAGTGAAAAAGGTCAGTCTCAAATGATCACATACTGCATGGTTCCATTTTCTAAAAGACAGAATTATAGCCACGGGGAACAGATCAGCGGCTGTCGGGTTAGGGCAAGGGGAGGATGCGACTACATAAGGACAGCACTAGGGGATTTGGGGGGCGGGTGACAGAACTATTTTGTATCCTGCTTGCAGTGGTGGTCACACATATTTATACACATAATAAAATTCATTGAACTGGACTCCAAAAAGAAGTCAATGAAAATGCAATTTAACAAAAAGACCATGTAGGGCCTCGGGTTCTCGGACAGCTCCTTCCAGCAACGCTCGCAGGCCACACCTCTCCCCTGTAGCTCCTTTGACTGGATTAGAAAAGGGTACCACCGCCCCCGTGGAATGCAGCCTGTGCCAGGGCCCACAGCCTGGCAAGCAGAGGGCTGGCCGAGCTGCAGCTCCATCTGCCCCCTGAGTGGCTCCTTTGTGCAGTGAACAACCTACACAAACGTCCATGTGGGCCCCGGAACCCCCATTTTTCTTCTCAGCTTCTGTTCTCCCATCAAGGATGGAGCTTTGGCAAGCCGTCCCCAGGGAGTGGGGGTGGGAGGCGGGCTGTGCATTAGCCCGGACTGGCCAGGCTGGGGCCTCTTACTAATGGCTGTGAATGCACTTAGTGCTGAGGCTGCAGGCCGGTGCTTTGGGGGCCTGCTGCTTAATGGCTCGACTGCCAGGGAGAAAAGAAGGATGGCTGGTTAGCCAGACACATAGCCAGGCTCAGATGGAAAGCGGGGGGTAGCGGGGGACTCACCCCAGCCTGGAATCCCCCCTCCCTCAGCCCGGTGAGGTATGAGCAGGTGCAGGCAGGACGACCTTGCCAGAGAGATCAGCCGCACCTGAGCTTGGTCCCAAGCTGGGCTGGCCCCACAGCGTGCCTTCTTCGGTCATTGACGGTGGAGGTGTCACTCCGCCGGGTGAGCGGGTTTCAGGTGGGCTCAGCCACCGCTGCTCTGTCCCAGGAAGCTAAGGGTGATGATCCATATTCCAGCTATTACATCCTGGCACTCGCTGATGCCGGCCCGGTGCTGAGGCACACCAAGGTGGCAGTGATAACAAAGGCAGTAAGAGCCATACGAATGACAAGCCTTGTTTACTGGGTGCATGTGATGGCCGGGCCTTGGTCCTCCTAATAACCCCGAGGCTGGCCTGGTGCTGCCCTCCCTTCAAGGTGAGTTAACTGTCTACAAAGTGGGACCTTCGACAGAGATAAGATGGACTTAGCTTTTTCATACGTAATAAAATAAAATACAATAAAACCCCTAACTCTCCCTGCAAGCCTTTCTTCAAGATCGGTTCAGGCCCCGCCTCCCCCAGGAAGTTTACGCTGAATCCCCTCCAGGCTAGGTCAGAACACCTCTGAGAAACAGGGTTCCTCACTCTTCCTTGGGTGGGGACCCTCTTCCTCTTCCAAGAATGAGCTGGTTTTGCCTTCTCTGATAGAGCAGTATGTGAGGATAATAACATCTGGGACCCCAGCGGCCATCACTACTTCCCGAACTGGACCCAGCTGGCACCACGAGGAGGACAGAGAGCGTGCCAGAAAATCAGTGCTAGCATTTCTAACTTGAGCAAACAAGTTGGCTATGAGTCTGTGGCTTGAAGAACAGGGTGGATGGCAGCGTCAATAATAAAGGAGGAGCGAACTGCGAGGAAAGATGGTGGTTTTGACCTGGGCGTGGGCTAGCTCCTTGGAGCTCCCACATGGGGGCTTTCAGGGGCTGGTGCTCAGGAGGGAGAAACTGGGGTGAAGGTGAGTCAAGGAGTGGGAGACAGGTAGCAGGGCTGAGGAGAGTCACACACCACAGCCCATGACCAAGGCCTTTCTCATCAGTGAAGTAGATGATGCTTCCTCCCCCAATATACTCTCCTCTGGAGCTGTCACAGCGCCTCAAGTACCCCCACTGTTGGAACTGATGATCGAGGCCGGATTTGAGTGGCGGAACCCATCAAGCCACACATTTCTAGGAAGCGGCCTTTCAGCCACCTCCCATTAGCACAGGACATCTCAGATCCAGATGACAAGCTGATTCCTCAAGCCCGAGTCCGTGCTCCCAGGGTAGGTGTGACTTCCCGCTACAACATGCTTTCATCTGAGGCTCTTCGCTGCTTAGAATGACATCCCACCCGCAATCTGTTTCCTCCTCCGAGGGCCCTGAGATGTAGGCCAAGCAGCCTCTGCCTCCATTTAGGCTCAGAGAGGCCAAGCGACACAGTGAGGCAGAATTTGCCGGAATCTGAACCCAGCTCTCCTGTCTCCAGACCTGGTCCCCTTACTATTGTCTCTGCTTGTCCTCACGGCAGGCGTTGGACCAAGGAATTGTTTGGGGCGAAGGTCAGCCAATGAGGCCTTGCGAAGACCTGGGCAGGGACTAGGGAGATGGGGGGAAAGGTGAAGAGGCTGCTTGAAGGAGGGAGGGAGGGATCCCAAGCAAGGGAAGCTTCTGCCCAGTCCCCACAACTGCCCTGGACTCGCCACGTGTCCTAAGTGCCCACTCTTGGGCTCTGCGTTGGTCATCACCTCGAATCCTCAAACATCCTATTATGAGCCCATTTTACAGGCAAGGAAATGGAGGTTCAGAGAGGTTAGGTAATTTGCCTAAGGTCACAAAGCTAGTGAGGAATGGAGATCTCTGGCCCGTTGGAGCCCAAAGCCAGCGCCAAGGCCCCCAGGTGGGACCGAGGTACAGGGTGCACTGAAAGAACTGTATGTTGGCCAGCAGGCTGGGGTCAGAGGGCAAGCGGAAGAGGTCCTTCGCAGGCCCCTCCAAATCCTACTTTCTCAAGCCAAACGCTCCAACCTCCACAGGATGTGGCTTCCTGCTCAGCGGAGCGAGGCTCCATCCATCCTGGCCTCGGTTTCCTGTTTGGAGGGGAGGGGTCACGGCGGGGTCTCTGGAGCTAGGAGAAGTAGCAGCAGCTTCGGGAGCGAGTTGTTGCTTTTTAAAGACCCTGAAAGTGAGAGAAGGCGGTGCGGGCAGACCGGGGGTGGGGGTGGGTGGGGGACGGATGCCTGTCCCCGGATGTAGCGACAAGAACAGGCACCGGGAGACCCACCTCTCCTGGCAACGAAGGCTGGGGTGGAGCTGGGGCCAAACGAACGAGCGGCCGGGCTGGGCTCCCA